CCTCTTTGTCATGAAATAACTTTAAATATAATACAATCCATTAACATGTCTACGAAAATCCATGCAACCACCTGAAGGCATGTTATTTTCAATTACATCGGTCGCTTTTCCACAGGCTTTTGTCAGTCTCTTGGAAATACTTCACATATCAGTGTGATACAGATATTTTCGTCACTCACGAAAGACTATTTTATAAAGGAAAGTTTGTTGTTCATTCCAATTCGTTATGGTTACCTTATGGTTATTAGAGCACTAATCAGGTTTTATTTCTTAGTGATATTTGAGATAGATTTCACCACTCATTGTGATTAGTTTTATTCACAAAAGTGTTTTCATATTAAGTGTTTTCAGTAACTGATGACAGAGTGATTGATTTTGTCTTTAACTGTGGTGAAATTCTATTGAGGAAGTTGCAATGTGACCGCTAGTTTAAGTGGCTTGGCATTGCAGTGCACTGTGATGTGTTGAAAGTGTTTGGAGGTGGTTGTTACGAAACTATTGACCTAGGTTCAGTGATAGTTTGTTACTGTAAGACTGAAACTGGAACCTTGGGGGAACTGTCGCCCTCTGTGAAAATCGAATTCACATCAACCCTTGTCACTTTTGAAGATGTTACCACTGAGCTATTTGTGCTACAACTAATCTCCTGTATGAGCTGAATATTAAAATTGACGGATCAGCGAATTGTAACCAATGTCATGTTGTTTATCTGTTAGAGGTGATGAAGTTTTGTGGACTTAGTTGCAGTATTATCAGTAGTCCAATGAACTTGATATTTCAATAAGCGTTTTTGTGTTCCATGATTGAATGACGCATTAGAGCCGTGAGTTTATTGACTTACGTTATTGACTCTTGATTTCCATTTACGTCACACATATTTCTATTTACCCAGAATCAATCACAACGCACTACGATTTGGAACCACATTGGTTCACAGAGTTTAGTTAACGTTGGAGACAAGGTGACTCAACATAATTAAATCTGAGTTGAGTAATCCCTCTTAAATTGTTCACGTTGATGAATGCTTCAGACAAAATGATAATGAGTAAATCTGTGATTTTATGTAACATGAAATATTGTAATTATTTCTACCGTTTCTTCCACTTAAAAATTGTTAATATAAGTTCTATTGATTTTTGTCCATAGGTGGATGAGCGAGGTGCAGTGGCAGCTGCAGCCACTTCTGCGAAAGTTATTCCTCTTTCTTTATGCATATCTAAAGAACCTGAAGTGGAATTTCGTGTTGATCATCCATTCTTCATTTCAATCATATGGAACAATACTGTTCCAGTATTTCTTGGACATGTAGTAGCTCCAGCGGAATAGTAGCCTAAGTAGTATATTCAATAATTAAAAATATTTAACTAATCAAAACAGTGTTCAAATACTTTCTTAACTTTATCTAATCATTTATTCGGGATCTTTATACCTTTAATATTGAACAGTTCTAATGAGCAGTTGCTTATAATTTCATGGACATGATATGTTTTCTTTTCAATGACCCCTTTGAATGTTGTCACTTAGAAGCCGTTGATCAAGGTAACTACAAATGTTTTGTTATTTTGTCATACAGAATTTATTAATTTTCATTTTCAATAATTTCTTGTCGATTGTGAAAAATATAAGTCGACTACATTAAGGAATTCTATTTGCTGACTAACTCAACTTTTGAAGATTTATGCATAAACTTTTGTAACATATTTAAGTGTGAAGACAAGTGATACTACATAGTTGTTTAAGCACAAGTAGACCTAGTGGCGTTGGAACATGCAACTTTGTAATTGAGACTGGAACACCTCAAGCCACTGAGACACTGATCCATGGAATAAGGATTGGACTGCATCATCTATTATAAGTTCAATTATTTAGTTGATGAAATTTCGGAAGTTGAAGAACTGTGTGTTATTATAGTCGTTAGCAATGTCAACTCAAGGTGATAGCCTTGGTTAAGTTCATGATGGAGTCGAGAAAATCCCATGTTGAACAGTTTCAAGTAGCTATTGATAGCTCAATGATCACCATTGTATTTTAACTGATATTTAACCTGAACATTATCTCAGGTCTTCTCCATCATGGGTGATATGTGAATGAGTCGAAACTGTCTGAGAATATTCTCTGTATATGCAAATCAATTGTGAAAATTATTGACTTGATAAGTTTTTGAGCAAACATATTAAATATTGCATTTTACCAAAAATCTCTGCATTTATTCGACATATCTACAAGTTTAACCTGTTTGATTTGTCAGCTTTTCGCTACATTTAAACCTTTGATCATACTAGAGTGAAATTTCGTAGCAGTCTTCAGGATGTCATACACTGTTGAACCACTGTTGTTCAGGTACTGTGAAATAGAATTGGGGAGATGTATGAAAGAGGTAGAGATTGATAGAGCATGTAACAAGTGGACTGTCTAACGTCAGTCCAGTTATTTATATAAATGAATGTAGTATAACATCCTATTTAAAAACTGAATGAAATTTAACATTTTATTGATGAAATTTCGAAAGTTGAAGAACTGTGTGTTATTATTGTCTTCATACAAAACTGAAAAGTAACCGGGTGAGATTTAGGCTATGGTTGTCGGCAAAGTTTCCTTTTGAGATCATGAATCGACTGATGTCTGATCACTAATGAAAACCTGGAATCACTAGACGGCCGTTTCATCCTATTACATGACCCTTCATCAGTGTGCGCCTGCGATCTCTTTCGCCAACGCTTAACCTCTAAAACCACTGAGTCGTCACCTAACAGTGTTAATGTCCAACCTCAACAAATCCACGAAACAGCCATCCAGTGCTTTCAGGTTTTCAATGTATATCTAACATCAATCGATTCTTGATCTCAATCAAAAAATTAATAATCTCCACAACCTCATACTGATAGTTTTCAATGTGAAATGTTTAAACAAGATATTCTCATGCATCATTTCACATGAACATTGTACATAATGATCTGATGAAAAATCCAAAACAGAAATCTTCACACAATATGAAGTGGCACAATTGAGATTGTATTCTAATCATCATTAAACTAATCGTTTGTTGTATAATCTCCATCGAAATATAATCAAGTGTGATATCAACTTTGTACAAGTTATCATCATCATCTGATGTATTTACATGTGTCGTAATTTGCTCAAATGGTTTCATCGAAACAATGCAAACTTTTCATTTATTATGTACATGATAAAGCATCATTAGATTTCCTAAAAGAGCTGTTGTTTATTAAGCACAATACTTGACATAAGTAATTCATTATACATTAAGGAAATATCAATCATTATAATATTAAAGATTGTAACTATATGCTGTAAAGGGGGGATTTCACCAAAACTAATTACTGCATTATCAATGATAAGCTATTAGTTTTCTTATTTTGGAAATGATTGAAAAGTTTATGATTTAGGTAAATTGATTTTGTATTCTGATCCCTTTCAGAGTTTTATGGTTTGAGTCTGTCAGATAGTTGATAACTATGGTTATTGTCATGAATTCTGTGTGTGTTGAACCAGTTTGTTTTCTATGTTAGCATGGATTTATTTGAAATTGGCAAGTGAATTTGATTTATATCACGTTACCATGTTTTGATTTGAATTAATTGATCACACGGTAACATTGTTTTGTTGTTGTTGTTGTTGCGTGGGTATTTCAGTTAGGTTGCTATGGTTTTCCTAATGCCAGACTAACTTATATTTGCAAACAGTATAGATTAAAGATTGTTGAAATGCATGTAAACCAAAATGTTGGACAATAACGAATTAGGAGTTTGGGGTTTTAAGGACTGTTTAATTTGACTAGAAACTGGCTCATGATTTCATTATTCATCTTTTGCCATATCGATCTAGGTAATGACATGGTGTCAGTGACCTTATTTAGGTGAATAATCTATCACCTCACCATTACCCATGATCAATAAGTTCTATTGAGATGTTGATATAATCTATTGTTAGGCTGCAAGTAAACTTGTTTTGTTTCCAAAGGTTTGATAGATCAACATACATTCTTATTAGCGATCAATAGTAAGATCTTTATCATGTCAGCTGTTAAACATTGCAAACTCAGATTTCTGGGACAGAAAGCTTTATTCATTTTGACATGAAGTACCGTTTCTTTATTGTGAAAAAACTGTCTAGAAAACCCTACAGAAGAAAACTTAACAAGTACCAATAACCAGTCGACATTGTTCAGATAATATTACTATCTGACTTTAAAAACATTCCCACACAATTTTTATCACTTTATGATCATTTGGTTTTCTCAGAGGTGTTTCATTATCCGAAAATTTGATATACTTGTTTTCCTTCACTTGATATTGTTTATTTGTATCTTTCCATTATTGTTTTAGGACTGAAATTGATCAGTCTCTTTTTGACATATGTGCATACTGTTCGTATTGCCTCGATATTGCCTGAAGTCACAAGCTTTATAAGCAAAGATGGATAGTGGCTAGCAGTGGAATCCAGGACGCACGTTGCATCCTGTTTAGGACTTGTCAGCTGGATGTACCTACATCTCAGAATTGATGTTCACCCTGTGACTCGAACCCAGTACCGTTCATCCAGCTGACGACTACTAAATACGATTAAACGCACGTCTTGAACTCCACTGCTACCCACTATTCATCTTTGCCTACAATACTCATTTTTGTTTTTAAAAATACTCAAAAAACTTCCATAGATTTACAAAATGAAACGAATTTTTGCATATTTTTAGTTGTTCTAATCCTAGTTTACGTTAATAGATTACTCATCTAATTTTATGCAGAAACCTTTGGAATCACGTTATTTTCAACACATAGATTGATAGTAGTTTTGCAGATTGATACAATAAGAACGAAACACCTAATTGGCGTATACAGTATACTATAAGAAAATCAATAGATTGAGACACAATAACATTGAAAGTATTAAATGATTATCGAAATATTTGATGCAGTTCACTTGATATTGTGTACTTGAATCTTCTCATTGATGTTTATGACTCCAATTGGTCGGTCTAAGTGGATAACGCGATGGCATTTGAAGCAAATGGTACTGGGTTCGAGTCCCCAAGTGAACACCCATTCTAAAATGCAGGTATATCCAGCTGACGAGTCCAAATATAGGACGAAACGCGCATAGTAGATTCCACGACTAGCCAGTACCCATATTTGCTTAGAATTCTTGTGAATTAAGGCAATATCGAGGCAATCCACATAGTATACACATGTGTCAATTAGAGACTGATCAATTGCAGTTCAAAGCATCAGTGGGAATATTTAAGTAAACAACAATACCAAGTTAATTTAAACTTCACTCGGCCGCAAGAGGAAGTGGCTATGTGGATAACGCGATGGTGTTTGAAGCGGACGGTACTGTATTCGAGTCCCAGAGTGGACACCGATCCTGTGATACAGGTGCATCCCGCTGATGAGTCCCAAATGGGACGAAACGTGCATCCCAGATTGCACTGCTAGCCACTATCCATCTTTGGTTATTTTAGGAGGTAGGTGAAGTTGAGAATATGAATTAATTTAACAAAGTGGACTGAAGATAATTTTATCGCGGTGTATTCTAAAGTTTAAAGGTACAACTTAGAACACAGTCGTAGATGTTTGCTATCGTAGTGTGACAAACAAGGATGAAAAACTTATCCTCTATATTCCCCCAAGTGATGTTGTTATATCCCAGTGAAGATTAAATTACGGGTAACTTCCGAGGACTATTAATGGAATAATATTCTATAAATATTCTTATTGTATAATTATTCAATAGTTAGATTATGTGTATTAATATTCCTCTCATTATGAGCTTCATTTTGACTTTAATTTATTATTATACGACTTACTGTCCCTAAATTATGTTCAGTTTATTAACTACTGCCTCCCATGCTCACAGCCACTTTTTGGCTTTATTGTACACAAATGTTATTTCCTATTTTATGGTGCGTTGCTGTCTGGTTGTTTGATATATAAACACAGTATGTTTGAAATATATGATTCGCGTAGTGGAAGATGGTATTTGTGTTCTGGACTCAAGTGGACGGGCTAAGCGGACATAGGACCAATAAGGACGCTAGGCTGCTCATATCGGTCGAACTTCATTGGTTTGGCACAACGTTAAGATAGTACAAGTCGTATTTTGATTGGTGGATAAATCACGTGATAAAAAGCCGGACATAAAGTCATAACATATGTCAACGGGTAATATAAAAGAACTAGAAATATTATCTATCGCCATTCAACCCCAGTAACTATTGGATATCATAAAGTTATCAAAGAGGTGTACATCTGACGATTGAGTTAGATCACATGAAAATAATATAACAACCAAATGCATATAGTCGA